ACTATCCGTTTCGCGTATGCATACCATAAACATGATTGATAGGACCCTATACAAACCAACAGCTCGTAGAGCAGATCGGAGAGCAGCAACAGCTCGTAGAGCATCCCGTAAAGCAGCAAAAGAAGGCGCATTCAGTAGTTTCTTCTCAACGACTGCATTCAGGCAAGCCTCCCGTACCTACGTTGAAGTCTAGACTTGAAAACAATGAATATTTAAAGACTAACAAAACCCAAGCTGAAAATTAGTCACGCGAACTGGAAGGTTTAGGAGTGTCTACTTAACAACAGAACAATTAGAAAAACAACAGAATGGAACAAACCACTTTGTTTAGCTTTTGTTAACTACGAAAAGACATTTGATTCGGTAGAACACTTGGCAAAGTTTAACTTACTACGAGATTTGGATATTAATGAAAATGATAGTTATTGAAATTTTATACTATAACAACACGACGATAATTCAACTACACAAAGACAGGAAAAAGAGTGGGACAAAGAGATAGATTTTCGCTGAAACTGTTGACAGCAGGCTTAGAACATAACTTCCGAAAAATAAACTGCGCAAGGAATGGGATTAAGCATAAATGGAGAATATTTGAAATATTGTCGACTTCACTAATATCAGAAACATTAGATGAATATCAAGAAATGTTAAAGAAACGTGATGGCCGGTGAATGATGTCAACCCAGGAATGACAACAGCTCGTGAGGTGACGAATACCAGTTACTGAGTAGATTACTATGATAGGTAAACGTGATAGCCTGCGGCAGTAAAGAGAACGAATGGAAACCAAATCGTCCAAACAAACGACACAAAATACATCATACAGTCTGACCGTTTCTTCAATTAAGACCCTCTCGGTGTTCCCCCCGTTCAAACTGTTTGCATTTATCCATATGTTTTATAGTTTCTCTGTGTGAAACAAATAGCAACATATCTGCATATTTGGCATTCATTTCTTTGAGTTATTCCGGTGCTTCCATTCGTTGTATTAAAATGTTAGTATATGATGGATATACTAATGCTTGCTATGGGGAACGAATATTGGAGATAACAAAAGATAGTTATTCTCTCTTTCCAAGCACACCATTCACATTAAATAAATTACATAAAACGGTATCTAATTATTGACTGGAAATTAATTAATAAAGAAAGCGACATCATGAAAAGCATATTCACAATATGCTTAAAGTGTAAAATGTATATTGAATGTCAAAAGCCAGCTACGATGTATGGATGCGAAATTTGGAAATGAACAAAATCAAATAAAAATGATGTACAAAGATCGGCGGATAATGTAATAAATAAAGCAAAGGTTTGCTTGATAAGTGCCGAATGGGAAGAAAATCCAGTCAAAAAATAAAAATTAAAAAAAAAACAGAAAAAATAGATGATTTTACTAATAGGATAAGACAGAAAATATTCAAAGTTCTTATGGAAGGTTATGGGAAAGAGCTTTCCCCAGCAATTGATTCGCAATGGTTATATATATATATAAAAAAGAGGTTATAGTGGTTCCAACAAGAGAAAAGTGTGTAGATTAAAAGAGAAGAGAGGTGCCGCAAACGTTTTTTGGTTGTAATGTGGATTTTTTAAAAAAAAAATATTATGCTTTATTTTCCATAATTTTACTACACGTGTTTCTGGTCTCTCGACCGTCTTCAGGTAAAAGCAGAGATTTCCATATTATTAAAAATAATTAATTTTTTCCTTGTTTTTCAATGTTAAATATTCTCGATATGAGACATTTTCTGTTTTTGAGTTAGTAATCCGAATGTCTTTCTTGAATTCGAGACCAGAAACACATGTAGTAAAATTATGGAAAATAAAGCATAATATTTTTTTTTAAATCCACATTACAACCAAAAACGTTTGCGGCACCTCTCTTCTCTTCTTTTTAATATATGAATTTAGGTAAAAATGGCAGCGGTAAAAATGGCAACGGTAAAAATGGCAAAAGTGGATAAATAGGTAAAAATGGCAACGGTAAAAATGGCAAAGGGAAAAAATTTATTTTAAAAAAAATAGCAAAAGGAAAAAAATATAGATGAATATCTCACAATGATTTTATTAAAATCTTGGATACAATACATAATGGAAAAACATGAGAAGTTTGTCAAATTAAAAAGAATATTCAGCTAAAGCTCCCCCCTCCCATGAGATTTTACTTTTTAGGCGATTACGTCTGAACACACTGAAAAACAATTATAGATCCACTTGATGAAACCGAGAAAAAAAAGCAATAAAACATTAATTATTTCAGAGGCTATCAGACAACGATAGGGTCAGACTGGTGTCAATAAAATTAAAAATCTTGTCTGATGCGTTTTCAATCTTTTAATACTCAAGTGTGAAGCAAATAGGTGTGAACAGAAATTCAAAAGGTTTACTGAGGAATAGGCTAAGTGAACTCTAGAATGTTTACTTCGTTTACCATAATTTACCAATAAAATAATTAAATTAGACTGAGAATCAATACGAAATCTGTAAATGGGATTCCTAACCTTCGCCTTTGCGATTTTTCCGATTCCCTGATTCCGATTAATCGTCCCAAACTAATATATATATATATATATATATATATATATATATATTTATATATAATACTAATTACTTTTTTATATATATATATAAAAACACTAATCCCAATGTCAGCTATCAATTATAAAATTAACTATAGTAATCAAATTTACTTAAACACGCTACGATTTGTGCTTTTACTGCAATTAGGAGAGGAACCTAGCGCCCCCCCAATAAAACTTCTAAAAATCGACATCGAAAATTTAAAAAAAAAAAGGTTTTTAATACTAGGAGCGGGAACTTAGTCCCTATTTAAAACAAGAGGAGAAGGAGTCAAGTTACCCCCCACTAGAGTAAATATCTATTTAAAAATATTTATTTTAAAATATTGAGTGGGGGACTTAGCCCTATTTTAAACTAGAGTGATGTGAGCTTAGACCCATCCTTCTCGAACTGTCATGTTGTCGAATTGCCATTTTTCCTATTTATCCACTTTTGCCATTTTTTTTGCCATTTTTTTTTTGAGCACCTTAATATATATATATATATATATATATATATATTATAAATTAAATTGATTTAAAATATTTATTTTCGCACTATTTTGAGCACTATTTTGTAAAAATAAAATATATAAGAACACCGGATTTTATATACTGTTCTTTCTTTTTTTATTTATATATATATATATATATATATATATATATATATATATATGTGTGTGTGTGTGTGTGTGTGTGTGTGTGTTTAGGCAGCATATCTTTCATTCAAGCATAATTCATTGAGATAAGAAAAACAACGGTGACTTCCTTGATGAATTTCAACTTAACATCAAGAAGCTAATTAGAGAACTAGAAAGATTATTATAAAAATGTCTATATTATTTAATGTATCATTCTTGAATATATGTGTGTGTGTATATGTATGAATGAAAATAAGAAATAACCACATCTTACACATGTGCACATCCACACACACATGCAGTCAAACGCACACGCATACACATACACACACAAGGAAGAAGAAAAAAATGAACCTAACACCAATAAAAAGTCTCATAATTTTTTTTAACTTAATATAAAAATAACGAAAATAAGAAAATCAACAGACAATTGCTGATACCTCCTGACGAGTGGACCGAACGATTACACAGAGGATTTGTCTACGAAACTCTGGAATAGAGGTGTTGAATATAGTATCAATCACCGAAGTGACAATATATACAATACAATACAAGTATATTATATATAAGTAGACAGTGAAGTCAACACCCAGCAGCGATAGTCTGTTTCACGCTCAAACGCAATCTTCAGGCCATATTTTCATATTTGCATGCGCTCTACCCTTTATACACTTTATCCCAAAAATATAGAATACCTTAAAAATATATTTTATTAATATATAAAGAGAGGGACGGGGTTGAGAGGGGGAAAGAGGGGGTAGATAGGGGAGGAAGAGGGGGAGTGAGAGAAAGAGGGGGCGGGATGGCAAGAAAGAAACAGAAAGGGGGAGAGAGAGAAAGAGAGAGGGGGAAGAGGGAGAGAGAACATCAAGAAAAATTATGGACCCCCCCACCCCCACCACCACCGACATCTAGAGGATGTTCATCCAGATTTTTAACTTTCAGTAAACAAACAAGCCAAAGATGTTTTTTTTTATTTTTTCTTTTAGCCAAAGATGTTTTTTTTTAATTGCTGGACATTATTCTGAAATCCAGGAGGATCCTAGGAAATGGCAACTCCGAGTGAATCGTATACAGAATACTACAAACTAGCACGCCATTTTACCAATAGTCATAGCGATAAGCATTCTTATGGAAATTGATTATCCGCAAATTGTTAGATTTTAAATATGGAGTATTCACTGAAGCACATATTCTTTTTTTTTTTTTAACAAAGCATTTCGATCAACATTTTATTTGGTCTTTCTAGGGTCAGTGTTGCATTCGGCAGCGTTCAGGGGTCACTGGGTACATTTTGTCTTCATAATCACTTTCTCAGCAAGACTATCGTAGATGAAAAACTTAACGAGATCAACTCTCGTGGAGCGTGGTAACAGACGCTTTGACTGCGACATAAAACATTCACGTTTTAATGACTGTTTAGTTCTTTCATTAAATAGCAATTTTTAAACTTAGATATCTTTCATTTTCGAAATGGAGAAATCTAGTGGGATTGAAATTTGAAAACCTTTCCTTGATGTCTACACTGCTATTCGTTTCAATTCAAACCAATTCTCCAACTTGTTGAAAAGCAGCTTTACATTTTAAGCTGTGAGTTTACCCAACACTTTCAATGAAAATAAAAGATTTAATCTATTAATCAATTAGTTAATTAAAAGAATATTAAAAGATTAGTTAATATTTACTCTTTAATCGATTAGTTAATTAAAGGATTAAAAGATTATTAAAAGATTAGTTAATATTTACTGGATGCTGCCAAAAGAAATAAGAAAACGTTAAAAAGAATCCATTGACCTACCTCCTGTTCCATCACCCACAGTCACATCACCCATCTGAATAACAAAATCTCGAACCACGCGATGGACTTTCGTATTTTTGTAATGCAGAGTAGTCTGAAAAATCAATAAAATGAAACGATTTATCCAACAATAATTAAAATGACTAGCGGTAAAACTGAAGATTTAGTTTTATGTTTATCATAACAATATTTGCCTAAAATAGCACTTGAGCGAGTAATCAACACCAGGTCATTTGTTAGCATTTTAATGCCACCATGACCACATGCTGAGAGTCGTTTTACTAATACTGATGCTTATACTACTGCTACTACTACTACTAATAATAATAATAAATTGACAATAATTATGAAGATGACGCATTTTTTGTGGCGAAGACCAAACTGAGTCGTCGTGGGTATGACGATAAACTACATCCGCTTCTTGGGTAAGACGATAAACATCATCCGACAGCAAGGCCTTTGGTCAGACGGTTTTGAGGAGCGTGTAATTACCTGTTAATTGCTGGTGTTTCCAGGTCCATCCTGACCCGGGGTGGTAGCACCTGTCAGGGTCCTAGCTATGTCCAAGTAGTTAACCCCCAAAAAGAGGTCAATATACTATGAAAATATAAAAATAGGTTTTAATGCCAGCAATACTTTTTTGGAAAAATTTTTACCAGCAATAAATTTCTCAAAAAAAATATTACCAGCAATACATTTTCGAAAAAAATATATATTACCAGCAACACATTTAAAATATATATATATATTACCAGTCATACATTTTTTAAAATATTACCAGAAATACATCTATTGGAAAAAATATTACCAGCAATAAAAATCTTGTCGGCATTAAATAACCCATTGAGACTGATATGCCGTAAAACAAACCAAACCAAGACTCTTAATGTCTTTTAGGTTTTATATTTCAGTTTCCGACTTGTTCGTCAAGAGACCCATACACGAAAAGACCGGAATATAATAAATTGGCTTTCATTTTTAAATTAGTTCAAGGTTTGTTTGTTTCTGTTTTGTTTGTTTTTTTCACTATTCTATTTTGAATTTTTTAGTTATTTTTCAACAATCTGGACGTTATGATTTAACGTCTTGATGCTGAAAAATTCTCCATCAAGAAACTCTTAGAAAAAAAATCTGATGTGAGTTCATTTGGTTATTTTATTTTTTATAAAAAAAAAAACAAGTGGCCCGGACCGAGTACTTTAACTATGTAAACGACACAGACATTGTTTTGGCCTCACATACCAAAACATTTACTTCTTGCTGTCTCTTGGCTTACCGTTAATTGTTCAACCTAAAAAGTATTCATTATTCGACACATGTCGCTTCGCCTATAATTTTGACTAACACAAGCTATGTACGTGAACGCGTTATTTTAAACGGATTCACTATTTTAGTTTTAGATTAATTACCGAATTTCTTGGCTATCTAAGTCTAATTCCTGTGGCTGACATTAAACCAAATTACACTAAATGTGTTGATAATTTCAAAATGACTCCTAAGTCTAAATATCATTTGGCAAAATAAGTGGCGTTTATTTAGCGCCCCACTTTCTTTTCTTCTTTGTCTCTATATGAAAATTTCTCGGTTAAGCAATGTCAGTCAAAAAGCAAAAGTAAGCTATTCAAAAAGTAATATTAAAAAGAAATGACTAAGTTCTTGTTTTTATTTTTATTATTATCACAAATGACGAAGAAGGAAAATTAATTCTGCTTCAATATTTCCCAATACGTAAAGCTTTTGTAAAAAAAGAAAAGAAAAGAAACACCGGTATTTTCTTGTATTTGCAAGGGTGGGGGAGGTTAGTGTGAATGTGAGTGAAAAAAAAAATTTTTGTGACATTCTGATGTTAAACCAAAAAAACAAAAAATAAAAGGCTAGCAATTAAATTTGAAGTAGAACTAAATATAACTATATAAATCAATGAAGAAAAACCCGGATATAATAAATTGTGTCAATGTGAAAATTCCTCCTTGGAGTGATTTGTAATGCATGACTATCATATCTCAGTTGCGTCTCTGTCTTTGGACAGAGTGCGCTCAGGGGCGCAATGGACAGAGGGGCAACTGAGAAAATAATACTAAGAGGTTCCCAGCCCTGGGAAACAGCTGCCCGGGGTCACGCCCTTTCATTGCACCAGAAGGAGGGATCGGTGCTCGCACCGAGGCCAGCGCAACTGACGATTGCGGGGGCTGTGGGCAATTTTTGTCCCTTGCCCGAGTGTACGCGCTCGGGTCCCCACTTTAAAACGACCTTGTTTCACATCTCGTTCTGCTGGGGGAACGAGTAAACACCATAAATTGTTTCTTGAGCCGGCCGTTCACACATTGTCTTCCATTAAAAATAAATATTTCTTCGAATTTCTCATGTATAGCTGTAATTTTTTTTTTTTTTTTTAAAAATATATTGCTGGTAATATTGCATAACTGAGAGAAAGTGATATGCTTTTCACTGGTGCCAAAATAAACTGGCGTATAGGATGTCCAATTAAGCCGCAAAGGGGTCGGAAACATTAATAAATTTTAAAAATTATATATATATATTTAAACGTTTCATTAAATAATATAGACATATTACGTCTATTTATTTTTATACGTGTCCTTTCTAGTTCTGTAAATGATTCCAGTTTGATGTTAAGATGAAATTCATCAGGCGAAACGCCGTAGTTTTTTCCTACCCAACTACTTTCGATCTCCATCAAGATCATCCTCATGAATGAATTACAAAGACAAACTTATTGCAACTGCAATAAAATCTACATTCTGTTGTGATGGTGATTTAAAAATAAAAAACAATCGTGAACGCGCTCTGTCGTAATTATTTTAAGAGTTTAAATTTAAAGTATGGCGCCTTCCTTGATGAATTTCATCTTAACATCAAGAAACTGATTAGAAAACTGGAAAGGATCAGTATAAAAATAGACATAATATGTCTATGTTATTCACTGAATCATGTTTGAATGAAGATATGCATATATATATACAGCGAAACAGTCTGTATATATATATATATATATATATATATATATATATATATGGACTCTGAATCGATTGGTAAGGCACGTCAGCGTAAATGACGGTTCCGTATAGGATGCAGGTTCGAATCCTGCCAAAGGACGAATATTTTCTATGAAAATTTCTCGGACATTCAGGCCGGTAAATGTTATTTAATACTGTTTATTATAAACAGAACATTTACTTAAATACTTGTATCTTTAAAAAAGAACGTTAAACATAAAAATGTCTTTAATTAATATATATATATATATATTAATTTAACTAATAACACTCAGCCATAATGCTTGTTGTAAGCTGAGCCTTTTTGGCGAGAATAACGGAAAATTAAATGAATCAGCTTTTTTATCATAGACTTTGTCTTTTTATTATCCTTCCAATTCGCTTCCCACTCTTTAACATGTATCATGTGTTGTAACGATGATAAACAAAAATGTTTAATGTTTGGACACCTCTAACAAAAACGTTCGATCTTCTGAGTATCCAGGCGATGAAAGACAGAAAATGATTTAGTAAATTATTAAAATATTTCCACGTAACACATTCTCCTAATCAGCGACGCGTGTGTAAGAAATAAAAGTCAAAACTTAATCGATCCGAATGAACGGCTCAACGGCTGTTACAAGTTGATTCGATTTTGCCGTATTTTTTTTGTGTGACCCAAACGTAAACGGTTCAAATAGCCAGCTAGAGTTATTGTCATTGATCGAATCAAGGAAATATCACAGCTGCTGGGCGTCTATTACACGTCGTTGCTCGGTTTTCGGTCCTTTAAAATGTGCTGTCGACGTGGACAGGACAGAATAATAAATGAAAATGCTGATCGAAAAAGACGAAAAATATTTAGACTTCTTCCTCTGTATTCGATGTCATTTGATGAGGATTTAATGATAAGATTTTACTGTGTGAGGTCATCTTGTTTAGGTCTTTTGCATAATTACACAACTAAACATATTTGAGACAAAATCCAAATTTGCTCACGCGATATAAATGAATTTTAAGCAGAAAATATGGAATCGTATGAAACCTATATAAGTGTTCCAGACGCTGGATCTTTTCGTTAGTCACCACTAAAAGTCAAAATCTAGCGTCCATAATTTGAATTATTATTATTATTATTATTATTATTCCTTTACTACCTTTTCTCTTTCAGTTTTCCTTCTGAATCTGCTATCAACAGAGTGACAGCCATGTATCTTATGCTGTTAAGATTGTCCACCAATGATAAATATTGGCAGATATTCTAGTCCTCTTTGGATTTTGCTTATAAATAAATAAATCCACTGAGAAAAGGCATCCTTCCCCTACACCTCTTTCAATTTTTACGTACTCACTGAACTCGTTCTCCATCCGCATGCAAACCTGGTTATTCCCAGTAAAGCTTAAGGGTTACTCTAATATCTTTCTCATATAAATCAAGCTTTTCCTAGTATTTCAAGTAGGTCTTTGTGTCGAACTTTATCAAATGCCTTTGTGCAATCTATGAAATATACTGAAGCCCAAAAAGAAAAAAAAATGATTAAGTTGCATTTTATTTTTCTCTCTCCGCAAAAAAAAAAAAAAAAATACTGGATGTTTTTCAACCATCTTCATAAAAAAGGTAACTCTAACGTCCTAGACCCTGGGAGGGAATCTGACGAAATAATCATATAAATTCCACTGGTTATCAAAGTTTTGGTTTGGCGGAGCCTAAGGAAAACACATCCAAATATTATGCCCTCTACTGATATATTTTCTTATTTCAATTTTTTTTTTAGACAACGCTAAAAATATGTGACAAATTGAGTAATCTGTCATCCGAGACCAACAGTTTGAGAGAAAGGCTGAATTTTTTTGAGTCTCTACGATGAAACCGCTGTTAAAATTTGACCGCAAACAACACATAAGCGGTACAATACAGAAAATAAATTAATTATTATTTATTTAAACTTCCGTACTTTAAAATTATAGACATTCACTTTTGGTGACTGTGAGGGCCTAACTATGACATAAAAAAAACTTCCAGATGTTTTCCAAATTTAGCATATTGCGTAATTTTATTTTTGTCATAATTAAAAATATCAAAAACAACTTAAAATCAAAT